TAAAAGGTTAAAAAATAAAATAAAGAAAAATAGTATATAATATAGTAGATAACTGTAGCAACAAACTCTCCCACCGAGGCAGGGTGACCCAAAAAAGAAACACTTTCACCATCATTCACACAATCACTGTTTTTGCAGAGGTGCCCAGATATGACAGTTTAGATGTCACTCCAAACAGCCAATATCCCAAACAGGAGTTTCCCGGAACTTTGGAATTATTCTTTGAAAAGCAATAACTTTGTTAGTAATCATAAAAATTACTTGATCTGCAATGCATTTACTTGATAACTATATGTACACAACATCATGGTATCAAATTTTTAATAAAGTAGTTTTTATACTGATTTTTCAGTTATTTAATTAACTATTCTAACAGTAACTGGATTTTTTTTCATTTGAAGCATACTATAAAAAGTTGTTGCAAGATTCAACAGATTTAGGTGTATAATCAGACACAGTGTTAATACACAACAATTCCTGACAATGGGTATGATAATGGATACAGTGATGAAATGTAAATATAACTGCATGAAGCAGCCCACATTAACATCAGGATTCAAGAAATGAACAGTATATAAGACTGCAGTTAGAATGATAACAAATTCTCACTACAGGCAACACACTCCACCAATATTCAAAACACTCAACCTACTCACCATACAAAACATCCATACTTATTATTGCACCTATTACATACATAGAACACTTAACTCTGATATTAACCCTCCCCTCAAACATCTCCTTGCCAACCTCAACAGAACACATGACCATAACACAAGGCACAGATCACTCTTTGATGTTCCTCGTGTCCATCTCACGCTATGCAAAAACTCAATGCACATAAAAGGCCCTAAAATCTGGAATTCATTACCTGTAAATATAAAAGAAACACTACCTGTTTATAAATTCAAGTCTCTTCTCAAAGATCACTTACTCACTCAAAACCAAATAAATACTGAATAACTGAACCTTATAAATTGTATATCCTATATGTTACTCACAATTATATCACACAAATGTTAAACCTAGGACCCAATCTAACTTTATTATTTTTTTAAATACACTACCTAACAGAATACTCCATTCGACTGAATGTACAGCAATGCAAGCAACCATATGACCTGTCTTTGTAATACTCATTTGTGCTTTATAGTTATCTGTTTACAATAATGTTTTATCACTGATTTCATCATTGCTTAGTTAATCTTAAGTTAATTTTAAGCCAGCCCGTAATGCTATGCATATAAGTGGCTTTGGCATGCTGCTCTTACCTGTATTTTTTGTACCTCTGTTTGTATGCTTAAATTACTAAATAAATAAATAAATAAATAAATAGTGAAAACACAGCACTATGGTCAATAATGAATAATCATACATGTGCTTCAACTTTCTGTTCAGTAATCATTCCAGTTCTACACATTTTCCAACTCATCAAAGATGAGTTTATTTGAATTTATGTAGGTATTTCAATTATTATGAGTATATTTCTGGGTACTTATTAACATATACATTTTTTAGTGCTGTTCTTTACAAAAATTGTTGATGCTAAATTGCCTCACATCCCAAGAAGTTCAAATGCAGTGTACTACTATATTCATACATTAATTTTTACAAGTTTTTTCATCATATTTTTTTATAATAGTTTTCAGCAGTTTCATGCATTCACAATTTTTAATACATTACATACAGAATGTGTAGTCATTGTCATGTACAGTCTTCTGCAAATATCCTGACTTCATTAACAATAATAATGCTGGTAAAGTAATAATGCTGGTAAAGTAATAATACTGGTAAAGTAATAATACTGGTAAAGTAATAATGCTGGTAAAGTAATAATGCTGGTAAAGTAATAATGCTGGTAAAGTAATAATGCTGGTAAAGTAATAATGCTGGTAAAGTAATAATGCTGGTAAAGTAATAATACTGGTAAAGATAAGGAAATGCCTAAGAATCACTGCAGCATAAACTGTTACTGGCCCTATAAACCCACAAGAAGAAGAAAAGCTTCTGAGTATTTTGGAAAAAAAACTCATTCATTTCGTTGCTAGCACCTATGAGAAGTTGTAAAAAACATTTGTAAACCCAAGTGCTCGACACATTCAGTTTCTCACTATAACCCTACCTTTCCTTGTTATACACTACTTCATATTTTCTTACGAAACTCCATGAAAATCTGCTGAATATTTTCGTACGTCTAAAGCCCAGTTAATATGGCTATGCCATATACAGTGGACCCCCACCTTACGAACGCATCGCCTTACGTTAAATCCGAGATTACGAAGCATTTGAACGCAAAAATTTTGCCTCGCCTCATGATAAAAAACTCCCCTTATGTGATTCGTCCGGGACGCATCCCATATGTGGCCTCAGCTGCCCCGTGGGTGCCGGTGTTTACAAGCCAGCCAGTGCTGTCGCATCTAAGCATACATTCGGTACATTTCATATTATCACAGTGTTTTTAGTGCTTGTAGCTGCAAAATAAGTCACCATGGGCCCCAAGAAAACTTCTAGTGCAAACCCTGTGGTAAAAAGGGTGAAAATTACTATGGAAATGAAGAAAGAGATAATTGCTAAGTACGAAAGTGGAGTGCATGTCTCGGAGCTGGCCAGGTTGTATACCAAACCCCAATCAACCATCGTAGCTACTATCTTGGCCAACAAAATGGCAATCAAGGAAGCTGTTATTGCAAAAGGTGTAAGTTTGTTTTCGAAACAGAGATCGCAAGTGATAGAAGATGTTGAGAGACTGTTATTGGTGTGGATAAACAAAAAACAGATAGCAGGAGATAGCATCTCTCAAGCGATCATATGTGAAAATGCTAGGAAGTTGCATGACGATTTAATTAGAAAAATGCCTGCAACTAGTGGTGATGTGAGTGAATTTAAGGCCAGCAAAGGTTGGTTTGAGAGATTTAAGAATCGTAGTGGCATGCATAGTGTGATAAGGCATGGTGAGGCTGCCAGTTCGGACCAAAAAGCGGCTGAAAAATATGTGAAGGAATTCAAGGAGTAAATAGTCAGTGAAGAACTGAAACCTGAACAAGTGTTCAATTGCGACAATACAGGCCTGTTTTGGAAGAAATTGCTAAGCAGGACCTACATTACTCAGGAGGAAAATGCACTCCCAGGACATAAGCCTATGAAAGACAGGCTTACTCTTCTGATGTGTGCTAATGCTAGTGGTGATTGCAAAGTGAAGCCTTTATTGGTGTATCACTCTGAAACTCCCAGAGCATTCAGGCAAAACAATGTCCTCAAGGCTAATTTGTGTGTGCTGTGGAGGGCAAACAGTAAGGCATGAGTCACTAGGGACTTTTTCTATGACTGGTTACACCATGCATTTGCTCCCAATGTGAAAAATTACCTAATGGAAAAGAAATTGGACCTTAAGTGCCTCCTGGTATTAGACAGTGCTCCTGGTCATCCTTCAGACTTGGCAGAGCGACTTTTTGGGGACATGAGCTTCATTAAGGTCAAGTTTTTGCCTCCTAATACCACTCCTCTCCTGCAGCTCATGGACCAGCAGGTCATTTCAAACTTCAAAAAACTCTACACAAAAGCTATGTTTCAAAAGTGCTTTGAAGTGACCGCAGACACTCGATTGACTCTAAGAGAGTTTTGGAAAGATCACTTTAGTATCCTCAGTTGTGTAAACCTTATAGGTAAAGCTTGGAAGAAACTGTGGCCAGAATGTGTTGAAGAAAGGGATTTTGAAGGGTTTGAAGCTAACCCTGAGAAGCGTATGCCCGTTGTGGAATCCATTGTGGCATTGGGGAAGTCCTTGGGGTTGGAGGTTAGTGGGGAGGATGTGGAAGAGTTGGTGGAGGAGGACAATGAAGAACTAACCACTGATGAGCTGCAAGATCATCTTCAACAGCAAGAGGCCAGACCTGAGGAAACTGCTTCAGAGGAGGAGAGAGAGAGAAATTGAGGAAGTTGCCTACTTCAAAGATTAAGGAAGTGTGTGCAAAGTGGGTTGAACTGCACACCTTTGTGGATGAAAATCACCCTGACACAGCTACTGCAAGCCGTGTTGGCAACCTGTACAATGACAATGTTATGGTCCATTTTAGGAAAGTCTTAAAGGAACGGGAGGTACAGAGCTCTATGGACAGATTTGTTGTGTGGCAGAGGTCTAGTGACTCTCAAGCTGGCCCTAGTGGCATTAAAAGAAGAAGGGAAGTAACCCCGGAAAAGGACTTGATACCTCAAGTCCTAATGGAAGGGGATTCCCCTTCTAAACAATAACAACTTCCACACTCTCCCCTCCTCCCATCCTATCAATCATCACCAGATCTTCAATAAAGGTAAGTGTCATGTATTCTATTCTTAGTAGAGTAGTAATTGTGCATGTCTTCTTCAGTTTGAGTGTATTAAAATTAATATTTCATGTTGTAAAAAAAAAATTTTTTTCATACTTTAGGGTGTCAGGAACAGATTAATTTGATTTCCTTTATTTCTTACGGGGAAAATTATTTCGCCTTACGATTAGTTCTCAGGAACGGATTGATATTGTAAGGCGGGGGTCCACTGTATTATGGTCAAGAGACTTTAAAAGAATATTCCAGATACAATACTGTAAAAAAGTCTAAGGTGTTGCATAAAAGTCTATAGTACTGTAGTAAAATCATGGTATCTGTATCTGCTAAGCTCTCAATTCCAATGCACTCAGATACAATATATTTTATCATATTGTAGTGTATTTTCCTCTCATTTTTCATAGAAAGGAAAATTAGGAATTTCGGAATTATTCTGAAAGCAAAGTTGCTTTTCTGAATTTGGAGAAATTTGTAATAAAGAGTTCCAAGTACGTATGAGAGATATTACAGTATTTATAACAAAACAAATCAGATAACCCAATGGGAAAAATCCAATTTCTTCAATTATATGAAATTGAAAGAAAGTTTATAACAATACAAAATACAGTACTGTATCTATAAATATAACACTGCAGATACCATGTACAATATATAGCTTTTGTTCTTTTTTAATTTACTTACCAAGTATTGGAAACTCTGGAGGTAGAAGGCGAATATCATCCACATGGATCTTACCAGCATCACCATCATCAAACTCTACATTCACTAAATTGTGGTTGGCTTCGTGTGCTGGAGACGTAGACGCAGCTATTGAACCTGTGGCCAATTTTACAAGGATATTTATCTAGTACTCTTTAATTTCTTCTGTAAAACATTCTGCTGTAGTTAATGATAATATTATGTACCTATTGAGAAAGGAAAGCCCACATGAAACAAAAATGAGGAAGCATGGTAGTCTGCATATTTCAATCCCCAGCTGAGGTCCTCTTCAGCTGAATACCTTGGTTAGGGGTAGAAATATAGACTATGATTCTTCTTCATTTCTGTCTCACGTGGGATTTTCTCTCTCACTGATCAGTGTACATTACATTTTTTTGCACCAACATGTCCCTACCATACTCATTCATTTCCATTATTTTATTAATTTTTCAGTTTTGTGAGAAAAGCAATAATAATTCCCACACATTAACTATGCAAATAAATGCACATTACATGTGAAAAATGTGTGCTAATAAGATGAATGGCTGAGCATTGCTTTGAGTAAAATGATGTGCTTAGACAAAATAAAACTAAAGTGCCAACAAATAGAAGAATGGAAGGTAAGATAATCAGCATTAAGTTTATGAATTCTTATTATGGATTCTTATTATTACTATTAAAGACAGGCACTAAACCAGCAGAGGTCATACAGCATCTAAGGAATTGGAGGTAATTAGACAGAGTCCCTCGGTGGGAGACGGCCGACTTGTTGAAAAAAAAAAAAATGAAGAAAATGATAAATATAAATTCTGGATTAATGACACTACAATTATAGGGGTTGCCTTGATTCTGGTTAAGACTGCCTGATCCAAGGAATTGGAGGAACCCTTCCCTTCCTTAGATGAAACCTGATTACCTCCCAATCCCCAAGCAGTGTATGACCCTTAGATATTGTGCTTTCCCATAAATTTAATAATACTCCAGATTAATGTGGGTGTGAGTGTAGGCATATGTTATTCAAATAAAGGCCACTTAGGGCTACATTCAACAGAAGGGCCACTTAGGAATATGAAGAACAGAACGACACAATACCATGACTGGAACAATACACAAATAACAGGTTATTTGTGTTAGAGCTATGCTCCAACAGGAGGGCCACTTAGGGCTATGCTCCAAGAGGAGGGTCACTTAGGGCTATCTTTCCATTAAGATATACCTGCTCTCAGTGCATGAAACCAATCAGAAAAGTTGTTCTATAGTTACTACACAAAAACCAGTTTATATAAGTAGGAATTAGGATAAACTTTTTTTTGAATGTTTGAAACTAAGAAGAAGAGGCTTTCAAAAGTTATTGCACTCATTCTAGGTAACTTGGAAAGGGCTCTTTAACACTGACCAAACTGCACCTCCACAATTTCCCTGATACAATGAACCATTGTTAAAAAACTGAAGCCAAATGGATAAAGCATTCTGAAGCTATAAACAAAAGTTAGGAGACGAAAAAAAAAAATCAGGCAACCACCTAAAAGTCCCCTTTTTGGGATACCTAATGATTAAAATATACTGAAATGGGTGAGAGAAGACTCTGGTAGGAAAGTATCAGACCTCGCAGTAGTTCTCAGCATAAGCAGACTAATCAAAGGTTCAGGTACAGTGAAAGAAGAACTAAGAAAATGAGAAAATAATAAGAAGTAGGAGTTTAATAAAGAAAGGATAAGAAAGCAGTACACCTGTGCTGAGCTTAATTCAAGTATTGCATTATCTGTCAGACCATCCATTTATGTTTCTAACTTCATCCCAATGATTAATTTGTCAAAAAAAAAAAAAAAAAAGTTTTTGGACTAGGTGGTCAGTCTTTGGAAGCAAGAACATCTACTCTTGAATATTTTTTCTATTAGCTGAAAATAATTGAAGAGGGGTGGCTACATATTGCACTAAGCATACCATATACATGAAATGGAGAAACCATATTTTTTTCTTATGAAATGTTGGAGAAAAAAAAATGTCTAATAATTTACTTTCAATTCTGGCTGCATTTTGAAGGAACAGCACTGTGGTATCCACAGGTAGCTGGTGCATGCACAGTATAAGTACCTGTAAACTTTTGGGGTGGTGCATAATTCTTGAAATATGTCTGAATCCATTAAGTACTATATTGTTTTCTTGGGAGTATATATTCTCACAAGCTCTTTATTTTAATAATACATTTTTTATTGGTGTACTGCATTAGAAAAAACACATTCACAAATTCTTACTAAATGTTTGAACCATGCTATTTACTCCAAATTCTCATCTATCAGAATTTCACTAGAAATACTACATGTTATCATGAACACTGTCATAGATTCTCACTTTGTCTATTACCAACCCAGTACACCACTTTCTGGCTGCCATGGTTAAACATGTTACCATGTTACTTTGGAATGAGGTGTTGCATTGTGCTGTTTGAAGCACAGCAATACAAAGTGACACAAACTCACATAGCATCAAAATATATAAATTATAAAACTACAAACATAAAATATTTGTTAATGAATTTTATTGGCAATGACCCTTTCACTGTCGTCACCCCTGAAATTATAAGTGTTGACAGTGCCGCAATTTTTCTGGGTTTTTTTCTTAAAGGTGATGATAACAAAAAAGGAAAATTTGATGGGAACTTATAGAAATACACAAGCACAGAGTTGGCAGTCTGGGGTAAACTTATGCATCGATAATTTCAACCACTTTGAGTCCTATTTCAGACTATTTCCAATGCTCAGTTCAGCCCAATTCCTAGATATTAGTATGCAATCCATTCTATTGTCTGATCACAAGAAACTGTCCATTCATTTATCAGAACAACTCTACATGTGCACAGAAGTTGGTAATTTGGCCAAATTTACACAAAATTCCAAAACACTTAAGATAAGGTCAAAAACATTGGTAGATGGCATGTCTGAAGGCACAAAAAATTGTGCATACTAGTACATCAGACACAGTCATCACCTGCATACTTGTACACTGGAGACAGTTTAAAGGCTACTATGAACATATTGAGTCTTGATATAAAAATACTGGTTCTACTGATACCCTTATATATTCCTCTTTTCTTCCTCATACGTTTTAGCCTCTTAATCATCCATCTGGGATCATTTTTCTTTCAAATAGAGTTAGAGCTAAAGAAGGAGTAGCAATAATGTTGAAGGATAAGCTATCGCGGGAAAAGAGTATACATGTAAATTTTTAAATTTCCCAAGGATTTGGGGGTAAATTAAGGCGGGATGTAAAAAAGGGGGTTTTAAGAAAGTGTAAAAGGCACCTGGAAAAGAGAGAAGTGTAGGGGAAGAGAGAGAGGGTTTTGGGAAATTCCCTGAGGAGTGTGTGGGGAGTTTTGAACTGGTGTGTGAGTACTTTTTTGGTTTGGGGGAATTTCAATCAAAAGGGGGGAAAAAAATTTGTTGTGGGGGGAGTGAAAACAAAAATTTGGGGGTCCCGGGGAAATAAAGAAAAAAAGGAAACCCTTTTAATTTGGGGGCTATGGTAAAAAGGGGTTTTTTGGTAATAAGTAATACATATTTTTGAAAAAGAAGATAAAAAAAATATAAAAGGGTATGATATAGCACGTAATGAAATTTAAAATGTAGTTTGAAAAATTTAATACTGGTGGATAAAAGGTTGATGGGTAGGCTTCAGGTTAAATGTTTATAGAGGGGCAATTTTTTTATTTCAGATCATTTTTTAGTTGTGCTAAAGTTAGAGTAAAGGTAAAAGGGGACAAAAGGAAAAGGGCCCCAACAATAAGTAAGAGAGAGGTGAAAGGTATAAAAAAGGGAGGAAAAGCTGGGTGAGATATAAGAAAACTTTTGGGCAAAAAGGTAGGAAAGAAAGTATGGTAGTGGGGGTGGAGGGTGGGGGGGGGGGGGTTAAAAGTGGGTTTTTATTTTTTAAAAATGCAGTATTAGAATGTGGAGCAGAATTTATGGTATAGGAGGGTGAGTTTTGGAGGGAAGAGGAGTGTTGGGGGAATGATGAAGTAAAGGGGGTTAAAAAAGGAAAAAAATTTGCTTATGAGAGGTTTTTTACAAAGAGAAGTGTTTATAAAAGCAAAAGGGATATGGACAGTAAAAGAAAGGTTTAAGAGAGTGGTGAGGAGGTGCAAAAAGGGGGAGCAGATGATAGAGTGGAGAGGCACTGTCAAGAAATTTTAAAGAAAATAAGAAAAAATTTTGGAGTGAGTTTAAAAAAAGTTAAGAAAAACCTAGGGAAAATTTGGATTTGTCAGTTAAAAAAGAGTTTGGGAGTTAGTAGATGGGGAGATGGAGGTATTGGGTAAATGACAAGAATATTTTGAGGAACTTTTAAATGTCAACGAAGAAAGGTAGGCGGTAATTTCATGTACTGGCCAGGGAGGTATACCATCTTTTAGGAGTGAAGAAGAGCAGGATGTGAGTGTGGGGGAGGTGCGTGAGGCATTATGTAGACTGAAAGGGGGGTAAAGCAGCTGAACTGATGGGATCATGACAGAAATGTTAAAAGCAGGGGAGGATATAGTGTTGGAGTGGTTGGTATTTTTGTTTAATAAATGTATGAAAGAGGGGAAGGTACCTAGGGATTGGCAGAGAGCATGTACATAAAGGGAAGGGGGACAAAAGAGATTGTAGAAATTATAGAGGAATAAGTTTACTGAGTCTAGTAACCCCTTCTCCTGTATAAATTACTAAATTTAAAAAAGAGAAACTTTTGTTTTTCTTTTTGGGCCACCCTGCCTCGGCGGGATACGGCCGGTTTGTTGAAAGAAGAAAAGTTTACTGAGCATGTCAGGAAAAGTGTATGGTAGGGTTATTACTGAAAGAATTAGAAGCAAGACAGAATGTAGGATTGCGGATGAGCAAGGAGGTTTTAGAGTGGGTAGGGGATGTGTAGATCAAGTGTTTACATTGAAGCATATATGTGAACAGTATTTAGATAAAGGTAGGGAAGTTTTCATTGCATTTATGGATTTAGAAAAGGCATATGACAGAGTGGATAGGGAGCAATGTGGCAGATGTTACAAGTAAAGAGTTTTTATGAGGATAGAGAAGCTCAGGTTAGGGTGTGTAGAAGAGAGAGAGACTACCTCCTGGTAAAACTAGGTC